AGTTGTAAAACGGTCACCAGGCAATATTATCGTTTATCGCAATAAATTTTGAGACAATTAATCGCCCAGCAAAATTTGTTATCGTGACAGGCCTAGTTAAATATTTGATCCATTGCATTACAGTATGTACACGCCTAAAAGAGGCTTCTAGTTGATTTTTTAATTCCACCTTCAACGTAGATGTCTTTAAAATCTTCAGTCGTTGTCTAAAACATTATAGTGTGACAGGACCTTTACAGAATCATTATCATCCTTTCCTTTCAGCACCTTCTTCTAAAAAAACTTATCACAACAAACGTTTTTGAATACTGTCACGTTTACAGTATAGAGAAAGTTTATTATATTTCTTTTTTGTACTTTTGTTACAACAGCGGCTTCATGCCACACACAACTTAATGGAACTGCTGAGTGCAAAGCATCCTGGAATTCCTCCAACACTGAGAGATGATCGACTCAGTGAAGAGGTAAAATTACTTAATGTAAAGATGTTAAAAAAATAATTTACATTTGTCCCTTGTAGAGATAATTTTGGATCATTTCATGTTAAACCTGCTGTTTTGTTGTTCTTATCCTCTGCCTGTCTGTAGGCTGAGCAGCTGCGACAGCACTACATGACCAAATACGACTCTGAGGTCAGTGATGCACATCAGGCCCTGCAGCCAGTCCTGCAGAACATCAGAGAGCTGAAGAGGAAAGTAAGAACTGCCTTACTTTCAGTGGACAATGTGCTGTACACAAGAAATTCTTCTAAAAAGTGTACAGAGTGTTACAGCCCCTCCAAAAGTATTAGAACAAGTCAAATTATCTTGTTTTTGTTGTACATTAAAGTCATTTGGGTTTAAGATCAAAAGATGAGAATGAGGCAAGAGTTCAGAATGTCAGCTTTTATTACCTGGTATTTGCAAATGTCTTAATCAACTTAGGATAAATCACTGCTTGTATTACAACACAGCATGTTTAGGTGAACAAAAGTAAAGGAACAAATTATCTTAAAGTAAATAGCATACATTTGGTGTGTGTGTGGGGGGGTGGGGTTCGGCTTTGGTGACATTTGGGAGCAAATTTAAGACAAAAATCCTACATTTGGGGACAACTGGTGCATTTGGGGACAAAAGTCGAGTCCCCGTTTGGTTTAAATGCCATTGGTGGTTTGGGGGTTGAGTTTAGGACCAAGGTGTGAATTGAGTTTAGGTTAGTTTTAGGGTCAGGTAGGTACCTGTGAGGTTAGCCTTAGGGTAAATGGTCAGGGTTAGGATATAAAATTAAAAAAAAAAAGAATGGAAGTCAATGGAAAGTCAACATATATATTTTTGCTGCTCGATTTTCTTAAAAACAGTAAATGAGGTCATCGTATTGTGAAGCTCTTTGAGTAGTCTGGTTAGTAAGAAAGAAGCTGCTAAAATACAGACCATTTAAAGGTAAAAGAAGTAGAGAAATTACGTTTGGAGGTATGTGTCCACACCATTTTTCCGGATTGGATTCGCCACTTTGAGAGTACCAGCAGACATTAAGGCAGAGGGAAAATTGCTGTTGTCTACCTGTCCCTTTTGTTCCCAAAACAACTGATTAGAGAATAGATCTCCCCTGCAACGGCCTTGGATCTGTTGATCAATTCCTTCCTGGTTGGAAGATATTGACACGGCTCTCCCCCCTCCCTCCTCCTCTCTCATCCCTCTCCCGTATGATCTGATTCCTGAGGAAGCTGAGGCCTCACAGAATGAACAATTGACCATCAGTATTCTGAACTTTGGCTGCGCTGGCCTTGGGGACTGGATTTTTCGGGCCCCCTTAAACTCACTTACTCCTCTGGCTAATAGTTTTGCTCTATGCAGAGGTTTTTTTCATAAACACCATAGTGTGTCACAGTGTTGATATAATATAATGTTTTTGCTTTTTTCCTCATCCCTTGTGTGATTTTTAGTTTTTCTGTTTTTCTGTTTGTCTAAAGGTAGCGCAACTGTGTTTGCTGCATGACCTGTCTTAACTCCCCCCTCCCCCCTTCCCTGAATGTACAGCACCTTGTGAATTTATTTCTGTGAAAGGCACTATATGAATAAAACTCTACTTACTTACTTACTATTTGCATTGCTGAACAGATAAACAGAAGCCAAAATTTTTGAAAACAGCTGAAATTAGCATAAAGCAATGGGAAAAAAAGCATAAAAAGCTTGAATTAGCTAAAAGAAGCTCAAAAAAGTAAAAATTCAAGTCAAGTCAACTTTATTTATGTAGCACATTAAAACAACTTAACGTAAACCAAAGTGCCTCACATATTACAACAGATAAAAAGCCGAAACAGAATGCAAGATAACAAGAACAATAAAAACAAAGATTATAAACTGTAAAATAACAGAAAAATAGCAAAACCCAGCAGAATGGTAGCTGAAAAAAAGAAGTTATAGGTAGCTGAAAAAAATTTAATCAGCACACTGACAGTGAAAGGAGTATAAAAAAATTCAGATTGGCAAAAAATTAAGAGAAGATTTACAAAGGTTTAGTTTTGCTGCAAAATAGCTAAAACGGCTAAAATTTTCAGAAAATCTGCTTAAATGTAGTTAAAATGTTCTGAAATTACCATAAAGAAGCAGGAGCACGTTTACTAAAATAAGTAGCATAAGAGGACAAAATAAAGCAAGCTTGCTGGGGTAGATTTCTGAAAACAATGTTTTTGCATAAAGTGAAGAGATCTCACTGTTTCTATGGAAATTGATTTTGTAAATACAATTAAAGACTTTGAAATGCATAAAATCACTGTACCTACGTATCTCCTGGGTGAGCTAAATATATATTCTATAGTATCTGAATGGTTTAAACAGCACAGAGTAGACAGAAGTAAATAGCTTATAATAAACATACAACAGGTTGATGATTCAACAATCACAAAATTATGGCTTTATCTCCTGCATACCAAAGTAAAACCTTACTTGAATTTACATATACATGCTATAAATCCATAATTTTTGTACACGTTCTTAAAATGATTAACTAAAACCCATCTTTCAGGTGAACTTAAACTCTCCATGGTGGCTGGAAGTCATCCAAAGGGCGATCTGCTGCTCCACTGATGATGACCTGGTGTCTCGCGTCAAGAATGAGCTGACCTGCAGCTACAAGCAGCAGGCCAACAAGCTCTCCATGGCAGACAAGTAAAACTCTTGGACAACTCATCTAGACTCGCAGCTAAAAACATCACGCTGAAAACACGTCTCTTTCAGGTTCCTTGATGCCAAAGGTCTGCAGTTTTTGCTCACCACACAAACACAAGATCTGATACAGTCACAAAAGACTGTGAGAGATGCCGTGAAGAGTCTGGAGGGTCCAGCTTCAAAGAAGGTCATTGAAGAAGCCACCAACTGCCACCTCAGGCCCATGCGTCTGCCACTCAACAAGTAATCAGCATTTCATGGCACCATCTCAAATTTCAAATCTAATATCATTTTTTTGTCAACAAAAAAAATTAATAAATAAAAAAATAAAATCTAATATCATTCATTTAACAGCCTTTGAGCTCAGATTTATTCATGACCGAAACACAGAATTATTTTTTGTGACATAGTGGTATTTTTAGTAAGAAATTATAATAAAGGGGCAATATCATGTAAAATCAACTTTTTTGAGTTTTATATCATGTTATAATGTTATCCTCTCATCAAAAACATGACCAGAGTCTTACTTTGACTCATTCATGCATGTTTGAAAAATCCTATAGTGTCATGAGGCAGCCAGGCAGGGGAGCAAAAACGACCAACTGGGTCTAGAAACGCCTTTTGGGACTAGCTCCTCCTCTGGGCTCCATGTCTCTGAACCAAGCTTCCTCATCACAGACCACACAAGTTGCATCAGAACAACAGCCAACACAAAAAAAAAATTTCTCTCACAGATGCCGTCTGATGGTTATGGGACTGCGGTTGGTACCAGTGACAAGCTTAATTTGGGTTGAGGATTGTCCCATGTCTTGACAGACAGCCAATTGGATCGTCCGTCAAGACGGTTATACCGGTGAATAATCTTTTATTGGTATACAGTAACTGACTATACCGACTTTCACCCCTGAATTTAATGCGATAGCTGGATGCAGCTGCACTCTGATCACTTCTTTTGCTTTCCATTCACATTCAGTTTATTGTTGTGCATGTGCGGGTGAAGATCAAAGCGAGTTACGTTTCTGTAATTTTTGACTAAAACTATTAGGGTCTCAAACCAGCCTTGACCCAAATTGTCAAGACCCTACTAAACGAGACCAAACCATGGCCTAACAATCTGAGACTGAGCTAGAGACCATGATAAAAGATATCAAGACCTGTCTCAAGACCTTGTCCAAACAGTTTACATGTGTTTTGTGGACTTGGAAAAGGCGTTCGACTATGTCCCTCAGGGAGTACTGTGTGGGGTACGCTGGAAGTATGGGGTACCAGGCCCTTTGATATGGGCTGTTGGGTCCCTGTACAACCGGCGCCAGAGCTTGGTCCACATTGCCAGTAGTAAGTTGGACTCGTTTCCAGTGAGAGTTGGACTCCACCAAGGCTGCCCTTTGTCACCGATTCTGTTCATAACTTTTATGGACAGAATTTTTAGGCGTAGCCAAGGTGTTGAGGGGATCTGTTTTGGTGACCTTAGGATCACATCTCTGCTTTTTGTGGATGATGTGGTCCTGTTGGCTTCATCAGATCATCAAGTGTAAAGTGGCTGGGATGAGAATCAGTGCCTCCAGATCCAAGATGATGGTCTTGAGCTGGAAAAGGGTAGGGTGCCAACTCCAGGTCAGGGAAGAGGTTCTACCCCAATTGGAGGTGTTTAAGTATTTCGGGGTCTTGTTCACGAATGAGGAAAGAATGGAGCGGGAGATAGATACTGTATGTAGATTGGTGCTGCATCTGCAATGATGCAGGCTCTGTACTGATCTGTTATGGTTGAAGCAAGAGCTGAGTCAGAAGGCGAAGCTCTCGATTTACCGGTTGGTCTACATTCCTACCCTCATCCATGGTCACAAGCTTTGGGTAGTGACCGAAAGAACAAGATCGCGGATACAAGCGGCCAAAACGAGTTTCCTCCGCAGGGTGGCTGGGCTCTCCCTTAGAGATAGGGTGAGAAGCTCAGTCAATCCGGGAGGGACTCAGAGTAGAGCCACTGCTCCTCCTTGTCGAGAGGAGACAGTTGAGGTGGCTCGGGCATCTGGTTAGGATGCCTCCTGGAGGCCTCCCTGGTGAGGTGTTACGGGCACGTCCCACTGGGAGGAGGCTGCCCCTGCTACCCAACCTCAGATAAGTGGAAGAAAACGGACAGATGGGACTGACGGATCTGTCTCGAGACCAAATCTTGAGTCCCATTGATCTGAGTCATTCATCCCTGGTGTATATGCATCTACTTTTGTATTTTTTTAAATGTTTTAATCAAACAGGTCAGTCTTATGTTTTGCCATGTTTTAACAGATGTCTCTTATCTCATTGCAGTTGTGTGTTTTGCAAAGCAGATGAATTTTTCACTGATTATGAATCCAAGCTGTTTGCTCACACGTAAGTAGGAGGTTTGCTTGGATGTTTCTAACCAACATTTTAAATTAATTCAAACTGATTGGGAAACTTCTTTGGTAGTGTGAAGGGTCAGACGGCCATCTTTGAAGAAATGATAGAAGATGAGGAGGGACTAGTTGATGACCGTCTCCCCACCACCAGCCGTGGCCTGTGGGCAGCCAGCGAGACTGAGCGCACCTTGAAAGCTATCCTGTCTTTTGCTAAAGTCAGACGTATGGACCAGGAGCTGCTGGAGGCGGGAAACATTTTTATGGAGCTTTTTGAGAACTGGAAGAAGGAGTACAAGGTCTGCAAACATCTGCAACACGCTTACTTTAAATGAACACTTCAGGTAGAAAAATGCAAATAACAAAGTACATGTTATTATAATTTAATATGTTGCTCATTTTCAGACAAGTGTTAGGTTTGTATGCAGCATTTCTGAATTTATTCTATCTTTTTCAGTAAAAATACAAAATACAGCATGGTAATTGCCAGATATGTACCTTCTACATACTATTATTGGGAATTACCAGGTGCCTACAGGGGTATTTATAGAGCACCTACAAGGGCTGCGCTGTATTATGAAGTAACTTTTACCCTGTACTTGTGAATACCGGATATCTATTATGTACACTGAACAAAAACATAAACGCAATAATTTTGTTTTTGTTCCTATTTTTCATGAGCTGAATTCAAAGATCTAAAATATTTTTTATATACACAAAATAACAATTTCTCTCAAATATTGTTCAGAAATTTGTGTAAATCTGTGTTAGGGGGCACTTCTCCTTGGCATAAATTATCCATCCCACCTTGCAGGTGTGGCATATCATGGTACTGATTAGACAGCAATATTGTTGCTCAGGTGTGACTTGTCTGTCCATCCAGCCATCCATTTTCTGTCACTTATCCGGGGTCGGGTCACGGGGGCAGCATCCTAAGCAGAGAGACCCAGACTCCCCTCTCCCCAGCTACTTGGGCCAGCTCATCCGGGGGAATCCCAAGGCGTTCCCAGGCCAGCTGAGAAACATGTCCCTCCAGCGTGTCCTGGGTCTTTCTCTTGGCCTCCTCCCAGTGGGACATGCCCGAGCCACCTCAACTGTCTCCTCTCAATGTGGAGGAGCAGCAGCTCTACTCCGAGTCCCTCCAGGATGACTGAGCTTCTCACCCTATCTGTAAGGGAGATCCCAGACACCCTGCGAAGGAAACTCATTTTGGCCGTTTGTATCCGGGACCTCGTTCTTTCGATCACTACCCAAAGTTCGTGACCATAGATGAGGGTAGGAACGTAGATCGACCGGTAAATCGAGAGCTTCGCTTTCTGACTCAGCTCTCATTTCACCACGACAGACTGGTACAGTGCCCGCATTTTTCAAGTCTTAAAGATTTTTTCAAAACCTGATTTTCAAATTTATCTAACATGTCAGAGCCTGTAGGATGATTAAAAAAAACAAAAAACAACATAAGACAGCCATCTTTTAACCTGTTCTGCCGCTAGAAACAAGTTTTGAACTTTTTCCGCTCTCCTCTCCTCCTGCTGCTCAGCGGGCGCTTTCATGTCCGCAGCCGACAGATACATACAGATACATAAGAACACTACCCATCCTGTCCACCGGTAGTGTCTGTGACATCATGGAGGAGCAGAAACAGACCAAACAGACAACAGCTCACAGCCTCCATAGAAACTAATAGATAAACAGCTGAACTGGATCTGTTTCACAGATTATCTGTCATGTTTTTACAATAAATTAATAATTATGTTAATTTCATTCAACAATCATGTAAAACAGCAGATTTATACCAGAAAAATAAATAATTTATAAATTACAATGATATAATCCAGATGTGAAGATTAGACTT